GGCTGTTGCTGCTGCACTGTACTTTTAGTAATTAAAATGAGGAGGCTAGACAGCAGCATTATGGTAGGCAGCAGCAGCAGCAACAGTAGTAGCTGCAGCAGCAGCAACAACAATACTAATAGTAGCAGCAGCAGCAACAATACTAGTAGAAGCAGCAGCAGCAGCAGATTAGTTGATTGAGGTGTATAGGCAGCTAATAAGGAGACGCAAGTGCTGATGATGTCTTAAAGAGACAGACAAAGAAAAAGAAATATAACAAAAAGAGACAGAGACAGAGAGGAGGAGACAAATAAATAAAGAAGAGACAGAAAAGAGACAAACAAAAGGAGACAAATAGAAGGAGACAAACAAAGAGACAGATAAAGAGACAGATAAAGAGACAGATAAAGAGACAGATAAAGAGACAGACAAAGAGATATATAAGGAGACAGATACAGAGATAGATAAGGAGACAGAAAAGGAGACAGGAGACAGGTAAGGAGACAGATAGGGGAGGAGACAGATAGAGACAGATAAAGAGACAGCAAAGGATACAAATGAACATAAAACAGACAAAAAGGGACAGACAAAGAGAGAAAGAGAGACAGATGAGGAGACAGATGAGGAGACAGATGAGGAGACAGATGAAGAGACGGATAAAGAGACAGATAAAGAGACAGTGTATGTCTCTTCTCCTCAGCCGCCTCAGGCCCGTGTGCAAACAGCTAAACCCAGCAAACAGCAGGAGACTCTGGTGCACCCTTTATAGCGAACACTAGGGTTTAGGGTTTAGGGTTTAGGGTTTAGGGTTTAGGGTTTGGGCGTCCTGCTCATTATGATAGGCGGCAGGAGGAGACTCATTAGAAGGAGACAAAATAAAGCAAATAAACATTCTTAGTTGTTAGGGGCAGCAAACAAAGCGTATAAAAGATAAACACAAACCTTAAAAAAACAAAGAAGGCGGCAAGCACGCCTTCCGCGTACATTTACAGCTCGCTGCTGTTGCTGCTGCTGCTGCTGCTGCTGCTGAAGAGCAGTGTATAAAGAATTTGACTGCAGTTGCATGCAAAAGGAGAGGCAGCAACATCAAATATGTTGCTGCTGCTATTGCTCTAGCAGCAATGAGCGGCATCGCTCTGCTGCTGATGCTGCTGCTGCTGCTGTTGCTGCTGCTGCTGCTGCTGCTGCTGCTGCTGCTGCTGCTGGGGGCTCTGGCTGGGGCTGTTGGTGGCGTTTGCTGCTGCTGTTTGCAGTTGTTCTGAACCTTCTTCCTTCATTTTATTATTTTATAATGATGTATTGTTATAATTTTGTTATTTTATCTGTTTTTATTTGTTATTAAGGCTGCACTGGGGAGGGGCCCCCCCCTCCCCTTCTGTGCGGCGCCTGTATTGCTGCTGCTGCTGCTGCTGCTGCTGCTATTGCTGCAGAGTAGGTTAGCATCTCTTATCTCTTTCTCTTCCTTTCTACAACATACTAATTTAAATAAACTTTATTTTAAGCCGTTTAAAGGGCTGCAATGTTCGCATGCAGCCCCTCGTGCAGTTTGCTGCTGCAGTGGCAGCGGGGGGCCCCCAAACCTCTTGGGGGCCCCCCGCTGCCTTCCGTGCTGCAGCTGCAGTTGCTGCGGCAGCAGCAAATGCTGTTGCTGCTGCTGCTGCTGCTTAACTCCTCGCGAGGAGCAGCAGCAGAAGCAGCAGAGGGTCTTCGAGGCGCTCTCTTTCCTGGTCTTGCTCCTACAGAGTCTATGGGGGCCCCCCTTGTTGAGTTATTATATGTTAATGCAGATCCAGGGGGCCCCCCTCAGAGACCCCTAGGGATAGCTCGTCGCAACATACAGCAGCAAGACCTTAATACGCAGCAGCTGCTGCTGCAGCAGCAACAGCAACAGCAGCAGCTACAGCAGCAGCTGCAGCAGCAGCAGCAGCAGATACCTGCTCCGGAAACAAATGCTGCTACTCCTGCTGCTGATCCTGCTGATGCTGCAACTCTTGCTGCTGCTGGTGAAGAGAATGAAACGAACGAAGTTGTCCCACCGAGAGAGCCTCTGCAGCAGCTGCAACAGCAACAACAACAGCAGCAGCAGCAGCAGCAGCAACAGCAAGATCAACAGGAACAGCAACTGCAGCAGCAGCAGCAGCAGCAGGAGGGGGATCCGACTGGGTCCTGCGGCAGCGGCAGCAGCAGCAGCAGCTGCTGCGCACCAGCTTTCTGCAACAGAGAGTGCTTCGAGCCGCTAAAGACAGCAATTGAACATGCTGCAGCAGAGTCGCTGCTGCCTTCACTTCGTCGATATTTGGGGCTGCATGCTGAACCCCCGCCTCTCATGCCTTTCTTCCTTGGGGGCCCCCTCCCTCCTGTACCCTTTCTGCTGCCAGTCTTGACAGGCGGTGAAGGTGAGTTGCTGCTGCTGCTGCTGCTGCTGCTGCTGCTGCTGCTGCTTCTGTTACTGTTGCTGCTGCTGCAATAAGAGCTGCAAGGTAGAATAACCTCCTAGTGTAGACGCATGCATGCATGCATGCTGCTGCTCATGCTGCAGCTCATGCTGCTGCTGCTGCTGCTGCTGCTGCTGCTGTGTTTGCAGGGGATCTGCTGTCTTCAGTGCTGAGAGGAGGTGTTATAAAGGTGGGGTTGGTCGGTACCCGCGCATGCATGCATGCATGCTGCTGCTCATGCTGCAGCTCATGCTGCTGCTGCTGCTGCTGCTGCTGCTGCTGTGTTTGCAGGGGATCTGCTGTCTTCAGTGCTGAGAGGAGGTGTTATAAAGGTGGGGTTGGTCGGTACCCGCTTCCTCCCTGCCTCTGTGCGCTCCTTGCCTGCGCCTCAACAGCAACAGCAGCAGCAGCAGCAGCAGCAGCAGGAGCAGCAGCAGCAGGTGAAGCCTACGGGGATATCTTTTCGTATATTAGAGGCTGCGGTGTCTCTGCTGTCAAGAAATTATGCAGCTCACATCCCTGGAGGGGGCCTCCTTAAGATTCAATATCGTGTGTACAGCAGCAGAGCAGCGTTATTTGCTGCTGTTGCTGCAGGACATGTACACCTCACAGAGTTAGCTGCGCCTTACTCTACTCTTCAGACAGCAGCAGGAAGCTTCCCTTCAAAGAAGCTGCATGCAGCACTTGCTGCACCTAGAAGCCTATCCCTAACCGCCAAACAGCAACAGCAGCAACAGCAACAGCAGCAGCAGCAGCAGCAGCAGCAGCAGGATGTAGGTTGTGTCTCCGGCGATCGCTGCTCTCTAGGACGGTGGGTGTGGGGCTCTGCTTACTTTTTTTCTCTTGTTATAGCAGGGGCCCCCTGGGGGGGGGCCCCCCTGCTGCTGAGCTGCCAGCGACAGCTGCATGTGCAGCGACTTAGAGACCTTGGTTTGCTGCTGCTGGAGTCGGGTGTAGCGTCTCCTTTTGTTTTAATTGAAGCTGCAGCACCTGAGATTGCAGATATTGTCTCTTCTTCGCTCCCTCCGAGCGCAGCCTTTGGTCTTGTTAATATGAATACATTAGGGGGCCCCCTACCTACCACAGGGGGGCCCCTCAGCCCTCTATGTAATGCAGCAGCTAGAAGAAGAGCTCAAGCAGCACATACAACACTTCCAGCAGCACCTGAATCACCACCAACGGCTACCGCTGCTGCTGCTGCTGCTGCTGCAGCTGCTGCTGCTGCAACAGGGGGGCCCTTCGGAGCAGCAGCAAACCGGCTTACGTCAGGGCCTCAACAGACAGCAGCGCATGTAGAGGAGGGGGCCCCCAAGATGTTTGCTGCAGATGCTGCAGGTGCAGGGGTCTGGCTCCCAGATAACAGCAGCAGCAACAGCAGCAGCAGCAGCAGCAGCAATGGGGGGGAAGGGCCCCCGTTCTTGCGAGGTAAGGGGCAGCTGCTTCCAGGAGGTGTTGTGCTGCTGTCTCTGTCTGAAGCTCTTGAGGCCCTTCACCAAGGTGAGGCTGTCGCGCTGCTGCATGCAACCCCTTTAGGAGAGTTATTGAGCAGCAGCGAGAGCCAGGGGGGCCCCCCAGACAGCGGTGAAGGGGGCCCCCCAGACAGCGGTGAAGGGGGCCCCCCAGACAGCGGTGAAGGGCGCCCCCTATCTGTCTCGGAGGCCCTACCTTGGCTGCTAGAAGCAGATGCAGATACTGTGCTGCCTCTGTCTCCTTTCTATAAAAGAAGAGGGGCCCCTGAGTGCGAGCCCAGAGACCCAAGAGACGAGTTTGCTGCACTCTCTGCTGCTGCTGCTGCTGCTGCAGCAGAAACAAGGAGGCTCTTTCTTATGCCAGATGATGAGCTATGACATACAACAAAACAAGGGGCCCCTTGGGGGCCCCCTTGGGGCCCCCTGGAGGCCCCCTTGAGGCTCCCTGGGGGCCCCCTTAGGGATACCTGGGGGCCCTCTTGGGGCCCCCTGGGGGCCCCTAGTGGGGCACCTGCGGGGGCCTCGGGGGGGGCCCCCCTCTGCAGAGACTCTTGAGTCTCGCTAGAGCGCAGCAGCAGAAGCGGAAGCAGCAGAAGCAGCAGAAGCAGCAGCAGCAGCAGCAATAGCAGCAGCGGCGGCAGCAACAGCCAACAGCTGCAATAGCAGCAACAGTGGCAACAACAGCAACAACAACAACAACAGCAGCAGCAGCAGCAACAGCAGCAGTAGCAGCAGCAGCAGCAGCGAAGCAGCTGAATGCAGGCATCTGAGTATGCAGGGTGTGTCTCCTGGGGTTGCTGAGCGGGGGGCCCCCCTGCTGTGTTGTTTGTGAAGGGTAGGGGGCCCCCACCGCTGGCAGCTCTGTTTGGGGGCCCCTTAATGGGTCTCTTCGATAAACTCTGGTATCTGCTGCGGGCAGTGCAGCAGCAGCAAGTGAAGCAGCAGGTGTTGCTGCTGCACCTGTTGGTGCAGCAGCCTGTAGAAGATTTCATTCTTTACCCTTTTCGTACATCAATTGGGGGCCCCCTAAAGGGGGGCCCCTTAATTAATTAAAGACACATCGCGGCACCACCTAACAGGGGGGCCCCCCTTCTTATAGAGGGGGCCCCACACCTGTTCTGTGGGGCCCCCCTGTGCTGGAGTTGCAAGAGAAAAGGGAGGTGCCTCCCTATATTCTTATTATTGATTACTCCTTGCTACTTTGTATTAAAGGCCCCTCTATTGGGGGCCCCCCTTATGTTAGGTGGGGCCCCTATGGGGGCCCCACCTAACATAAAGGGGCCCCCATAGGGGGCCCCTCCTATGAGTGGCTGTTGGGGGCCCCTCTATTGGGCGCCTCCCCCACGAATAGTTGTTAGGGGCCCCCGTGGGGGCCCCCCTGGGGGCCCCTCCTATGAGTGGGTAATGGGGGCCCCTCTGGTGGGGGCCCCCCCACGAGTGGTTGTTAGGGGCCCCCATGGGGGCCCCTCCTACGAGTGGGTATTGGGGGCCCCCACCAGAGGGGCCCCCCAACTCCTTTGCAGCGTTTGGGGCCCCTACTTTGAGTCTAAAGAGGGGGGCCCCCTTGAGATTGGCTATCTTTTAAGATTGATTTTAAGATTGTATGAAAGGAGACAGTTGAGATGTAAAGAGACAGTACGAAGGGACAGAGATGGGAGACAAGAGACACAAATAATACAGGTAGAAGAGACTGAGAAAGGAGACAGAGAGACATAAAGGAGACAGATAAATAAATTGATATACAGATAGATAGATAGATAGATAGATAGACAGACAGATAAATAAAAAAGTAGATAGATAGATAGGTAGACATTAAAAGTAAAGGGTAAGAAGCAGAGAGAGGAGACAAGGGATTGATATATATACATATACATATATATACATATATATATATATATATATGTATATGTATATATTTATAAGAAAGAGAAACAGAGAGAGAGACAGAAATAGAGACAAGAGACATGGACAAGAAACAGAGACAGCGGGAGATAGGGGGGAAGTAGAGAGAGAAAGGAGACAGATAAAAGAGACAGAGAAAGAGACAGTAGACAGTAGACATAGAAAGGAGACAGATAAAGGAGACAGATAAAAGAGACAGAGAGAGACAGTAGACATAGAAAGGAGACAGAGAAAGGAGACAGATCAAAGAGACAGAGAAAGGAGACAGATAAAAGAGACAGAGAGAGACAGTGCACAGAGACAGACAGTAGAGAGAGAGAGAGAGGAGACAGATGAAGGAGACAGATAAAGAAGACAGATAAAGGAGACAAATAAAAGAGAATGAAAGGAGACACAGACAAACAAAAGAAACGAACAGAGACAGAGATGAGAGACACACATAGACAAATAGACAAAAGAACAAAGACAATAGACCTGAGGGAGATAAAAACAGAGAAATGCAGCAAAATTCAAAGGAGACAAAGAGACAGCTGAGGAGACAAAAAACCCTCTCTAAGATATATTAATAACGCCAGGCCCCATGCAAGCACTCGTCTGCTATATATATATATATATATATATACATATACCTACATATATATATAAGCATATACATATATATATATATATATGTATAGCACTCACATACATATATGTAGATTGACTTATATATATATATATATATCTATATATATATATA